CCAATATTCCCTTCTATCCTGGGAATGAATACCTCTGCCAGGGAAAGACCATTCCAGCCGGTGTTCGCTACAGAGAGGCGCTGGTGGCCCTGGAGGGCTCTCTGGGAGACGATCACCCATTGGTAGCGAATGCCTTGATGGATGTGGTGAAAGCGGACACCGACCAACTTATGTCGCTCCCGGACGGGGTGAGTTCCCATAGACACGTAAGGCGTGTTGATTGTGTCCGTTGCATTATTTGATGGTACCTGGTGGCATGATGCCGTGCTTCGCGGTCGGTCATGATCTGCGGCGGTGACAACAAGGATGATATGATGGAGCTTCCCCTTCCCTTGTTTCTCTCCTTTGGCGTGAACATACCCTCCGCTTGATCTCAACAACACCACGATGGGGACCAGGACGAAAGGCGGCTGCTCCTGAGCACTCACGGCAGCGATCTGTGCTCGAGAGCCCTGTCCATCTACGACGACGACCTTGGGCTGGCAGTGATCATGCTTCTAAGAGAAAGTACCACGCCTCTCGTTCGCCTGGCTCACATGCTGGAGCAGCAGGTGTGTGGAGGATGTTTGGTGAAGCGCAGTGTAATCGTCGGGGGTTGCACCAATTAATCATCCATGCAGCATCATGCGGTCCTTTGACCTGCAACAACCAAGTTGCGAGGGAGCTTTGATGCCGAACATACTGTTCTCGACGACAGGGCAACGTCAAAGAGGCGAAGCGACTTTGCCGGGCTGCGTTACACTCCCTGGACGGGGAGAACCCAGTGGGTCGCCCTCAAGTCGCTGCAGTTCTGGCCACCCTAGCCGGCCTGCTCGGCAAAGAGGTGCGATGAAGCGAAGTTGATCGCACAGCTGGCACCGTAGGCGGGTCCCCGGTCAAGGGTCCTCAACGACCCGACCAAATGACATCTGGGTACAGCAGCATTCCGTATGTGTCCTTTTTGTGTCGGTGGTTGGGAGAACACAGACCCGAACCCCGTTGTCTCTTGGTCTCCTCAATTAGTCTACTGCTGCTGTGGTGTTTCCTGTTCGTGTTCTACCAACATCGTGACTGCCTCCCGCATGCACGCTGCTTGCCATCTCAAATCAAAGGGGGACATATCGTCGCGTGCCTTGACTGATGAACACCAAGCATTTGCTGCGCCACCATCGTTGCTGCATTCTGCCGCCGGCGATCATGCTGAGAGATGCTGAGTTTTCCTGCTGTTCTCCGCATGCTTTGCTGCCCTCTCTCGGAATGATTGATTCGTCTTTCAAACCTACTCGCCCGAAGATGCATGGGTTCACGCTTCGGGATGCGTTCGTCTGTCCAATCACCGGCGAGCTCATGCGAGACCCGGTGGTTGCGGGTGATGGCCACACTTATGACAGGGAGGCCATCGAAATGTGGCTGAGGAAGTACGAAATCTCTCCCAAGGTAAAGAGCAATTAATGTAACTACTTTTTACGGCAGGCTAAAAAAAGTAACGTACGATTCAGCCACTGGGTGCGAGCAAGGGTATCGCTCAATGCCTTGTGCGTCTTGAGTTGCCACGTGGTAGTTTGGCGAAGGTACCGGCAGAGGCCGTTGCCAGCGCAACTCGCATATTTGTCGGCAAGAGTGTGGAGACTTGCCTGGTTTTTTAGTTGATGGGAAGGCTTCAATGAAAAAAAACATTAACACGCAACTACATCAACGACCACTCTTTGTTGAATGAAAGGTGAAGGTTATACGAAGTCTCCTCGGGTTGGCAACCACATGTTAGGGGAAGCACACCGTGGGGCGTTGGATGCCAAAGTTAGGGGAGCGGTTGTCGCTAAAGCTTGAAGCGCGTTTTTGACTATGTGATGTTCCCGAGCGTTTCTGGATGGGGGGGGGGGGTCTCACCTGACGACGGATGGTCAAAGGCCATTGTGGCAATTGCCCTCTTCACCAACCACAATTGATTATGTTTGTTTTGTCATGTTCTCGCTCTCTGTCTCTCTGTCTCTCTCTGCCAGACCAGTGAGCCCATAGAGCATCTGCTGCTAGTGCCCAACCTGAACCTGCGGCGCCTGATCAAGGACTTCCTGATCGAAGGTGGCGAGGAACTCTACGTGGGCGGACGGGACGGTGGTGTTGACGACAACGACGACGGGTCTGGGGAGGCTGATCGAGACCAAGGAGATGGAGGAGAAATCAGGCGGGAGGAGAGACCGGGGACGGGGGAACATCGGGAGTGCCGCTTCGCGCGCGTGACCGAGCAGATACTCGTACTCAAGGTGTGTTTACGACAAGTGCACCGACTGGTGATAAAGAATTCCACCTGTCGAAAAGAGGGGAGACCGTACGGGATGGCGTTAAAGAGTACGCTGTTTGCACAAAAATTGTTTTAGAATGCGTGCTATATCCTCCGACGGTGGATGGGCCCGGCAGTAGTGCACGATCCCGCCCAGACCAACGGCTTCGAACGAAAACACTGGGAGCAAGTAGCTACCATAGCTGGACGGTAGACGAGCAGAGCTGGTGAGAGATCGTGCAACAACTCCGTATTTCCCTGGCGACAACGCCCAAACTTGGTACATATGATACGTGGTGCTGATACCCTTCAACCGCATTTGACAGTGCTTGGGAAGTGTCTATCCTGCCTGGAACATCGAGTCCTTCCGCGTCACGGAGCGTGGGTGTGTGGGCGGGCGCAGCCAGCCGGATACGCTGGCGGGGGCGGACTATGTGCAGATCTTAGACGCCACTGTCAGCAAGCGCCACTTCGGTATCGCCTTCGATAAGGGGGTGTGTAAACCCGCACATCTGCCGTGGCCTCAGCCATTCCGATCAACATTTAGAACATATATCCTAACTGTTGCAGTTTTCGTTTCTGCTAAAATGTTGTTTGCTTTAAAAATCAAGACCTTTTGCCGTCGGCCAAGGTTGCTACCCACTCTTGACTCGCCCGTTGCTACTGTACACGAGAAGTTTTCTCTCCCCGATGTTGGCTGTCTGCCTTCTTGCGGTGCTAGCTCTGTAATCCATAACCAGTTTTCGACCCTGGCGAGCAAACAATTTGTCCTCAAGTCTCCCCCCCCCCCCCCCCCCCCCCCCCCCCCCCCCCCCCCCCCCCCCC